AGTGTTTAAAGACTTAATTCTATAGCTTAGTACAAACAAGACTCTGAAACTTTTCAAGTCATAGCATCTGTCTCTGAAAATGCATTAATAACTTTCATTTACATGGGCTTTTTCTTGGCATTTTTGACCCTGGAACATGGGATTTGCTTAGTCTGCAATAGTGAGGGAAACATATAAAGGAGGAAATGGCTCAAATTACTTTTCTTTAAAATCTTAATTTTCTATCTAATTTGAATGTAAGGAATAAGAAACATTAAAATAAGTCCTGTAGAAAACTTTTAAGTCAGTTTTCTCTACAGCCTTTCACAATGAAAATCTAGCACATTAACATAGTTTTAAATGTTCCTACAACATCTCCGACAGTTGTCAAATGCCATGAATTTGTTAATTAGTCATAATATAGTTAACAGATGGTAAAATTTAAATTTCCAGGGAAATATTTGTACAAGTCTATGTGGTTGCCTGGAATGATATATCAATCTTTTAAGTACATAAATATTCAAGCACTATTGTATGTGTACATGTTAGAGTTTTGTGATTTCAGCTGAAGTAAGAAATATCATTATGAAGTTGAAATGCAAATTTGTAAAATATTTTGGAGTTTACTTACTAACAGAATAGTACTAACAGAACATATTATCTCCTTCTCTGAGTAATAACCAGAAATTGTGTTTAAGATATTGGAACTGGTGATTGGATTGATGCTTTAGGTCTCTTCCTGTTTAAGTATTAATTCTTATTTTTCATTAAAATATATATTTCACTCCAAACTTGGATTTAGTAGGTTGTCAATGCACATTTTTCAGTTAACAAATGTACAATGTCTATCAGTATGTAAAGGAAAGGGTCTGGAGTGAGTGTTATTTTACGTTTTTAGTTAGCTTAAAAAGTAGCAGGTTTGCGTACGGGATTTTCATATATTTCATCACGGTTGATTCTTTCCACACTACTGCTTCTCCTTCACTTCTCTGTCACACCTTCCACACTGTGCCTTTCATCCTCAGAATCCCCCTTCCACTTCCTTGTATTGTCTGTTTCTGTTTATTTTACTGTCTGCTTAAACATCTAGCAATATGAATAGTTTCTGGAACCTTGTTTAATGTCAGATAATTAGACAATGTCAAGAGAGCTCCAAGACAGTGATACGTGACTTGTCGTTAGAGGACAATCTTGTGGCAACAAATAGAAGCTATAGAGAAATCTCTCACTTCTTCCCCTTAGAAGTTATTAAGGAAGCTTAATTAAGGCATACTGCCTTTGGTTGTAGTATGTGTGATATACAAAATAGGCTATGCTCCTTGCAAATTACAGGATTTTTCCATATAAGATTTGAAAATACTATCCTCTGAGAATAAAGTATCACAGTGTCAAGCTTTTCACTAGGGCATTCTTTTTGTATCTACCTCTTAATGATACAATTTTCTGAAAAGTAAAGGATAAAGCCTAACCTTGTACAAGTATTATCCTTATATAGTGCACAGTTCTAAACAGAACATGTGACTACTGTAAGGCATATGTGTCATAACAAGAACAAATGGTTGAAATTTGTTTGCCTATACTGATACTGTGTGACTTGCAATGGGGTGCCGTCCTAACACACCCACAATAAGTTGAAAGTATCATTACATGAAGATTAAAAGCAGACGCCTACCAAGCATCACAGCTTAGGAACACAGCACACAGTAGCAAAGCATTCATTTATCCTTGTGATCTTGGGGATGACTGGAACTTGCATTCTGCCCCTAATGCCCTCCAGCTCCCTGGATTATTCTACAGCATGTTATTGGATTGGATAAAAGGTCAAAATTTAAATGGTTTCTACTAAATACATTTCATTTTCATAGTGTTACAATGTTCAAAAATCATAAATGAAACCATCATAAGCTGAGGAACACTTGTATATTATATTTTTCTTCCAGCAAGTACAGAAGGGAAGAAGAGCAGTTAGTGAGAAATCCTAAGAAATGTTCTTTCCTTGAGAAATAATGCACTATACCTTAAGAAATAAACCAAATGGAGCAGTTTTAGGTTTTCCTGGGCTATTTAGTTGAACCTCTTGAATCTGTTGTTTGTTTCCTTCTGGACTATTATTGATGTACCTGTTCTAAAGCGAACTATTAAGGTAACTTAGAGATGTGGACATGGGTAATTCAATCATAAGACATGGTGGTGCTCTTAGGGATTAACAAAAGAAAACAGAAATTATCTAACTTTAATGAGGAGAGACAGGGGTTGATGAAGCAGGAACGTTCATAAAGTGTGGATCATGCAAGAGGGATCATTCCATAAGAACTGTAAATATTTAGTGCATCCCCAACACAAAAAGACACACATAATCAGTGAAGAAGAGAGGGAACAAACAGTCTCAATCTCCTGCTTTCAAATTCCCACTAGTGCCACTCGGTCTTTAAATGCTAGAAAGGAATCCTCAATGACACCTTCTGTAGAGGTCAATATCCCAAGGTGCAGACCAGGTGACAAAGTCAGAATGTGTAAGGTAAAGAGATCATTGCCAGCAAATGGGAAGCAAAAATAAGATGACCAGAATCAACCTCTTCCTTCTTTTTTGTTTTTTTAAACTAACAGTTAATTTCTTTGTGATGAGAAGAACAGAAGAACAAAGAGAGTGCTCAGACCATCCAGAGCTAACACATTGTCTGTTATAAACAGACTTTTGACACGACTTGATAGTGATGACTCTTGGTAAGTAAGTTACACTTTAAGTGTTTGAACTTTAATCAGAGTAGTCTGTGCTAGGATATTTTGGTGATAATAAACAGATGGGAGTTTCTCTTTCCTTGATGTCTTGTCCTTTATTAATGCTGTAGAAGATAGTTTGTCAAATGATACATTACTTTATCTGTTTTTGACAACTGTGATCCTCTATTTCAGTGTATGTTATGACTACTGTTCCTAGAAACAAAGGAAGAAAAATTATTAAGCCATTAAAAAACCTTTGAATATTCATAACAATATGCCTGTGCACAATAATTTAGAACAGAAAGCCACTATCAGATGAATCAGTGAAACATTTTGCATTTTTCTTCCTTTAGCCTTATTCAGTCAGTTTTGAGGCAAGTACTTATAGTTAATCTTCATTATTGCTAAATTATTTTTTGCTTTGGAATGTCAACTAGCAAAAGTGTACAGACTATGGGGAACTGTCCACATCAAAATTAGCACTTGAACAAATAAAGTGTTTCACATGTTCTATATTAATCATGGATTAAGAGGGAGTTGGAAACACAATGGGTTCAGGACATGCACAAATTCTTCTTAATCAGAAATATGCTGGAGGAACACTTTTTAAGAAAAAGAATATCAATTCATAGCAAACTTCCTAAACACAATGACAGAAGAACATGCCAGAAGAATGTTAGAATTTTATGGGTTTATAATATGACAGCTTGGCCAAAAGAAGCTACAGTTGTAATTTCTCAGACTAACATTGACAACATCTAAAACGAATCAACAAAAATTAATGACCAGAAAAGTTTAATATGTAGCATATTGAAAATTTTAATTATGTATCTAATATAAATGCAAGTAAGAAAGCCAATTAGGGGGCTGCTCTTGCAGAGGAACCAGGTTCAATTCTCAGCACCCACATGAGGGCTAAAAACTAGTTCCACGGGGATTCAGTGCCTTCTTCTGTCCTCTGTGGGCCTTGCACGATGTAGGTACACTTAAATACTTGCAGGCAATACACTCATATGCATAAAGTCAAATACAAATAATTAATAAACTAATAAAAATTGTTGATTAGAAACAATGAAGTGAAGATTTCATGGTGCTAATTTGCCAATTAAAATATTAGGATGCTAGTTATTTTGTATACTGAAAATTATAGTGTTAAAAGTTTATTTATTTATTGTTTTTATTTTTGCTTAATTTTAATATTTTGAGATGAGGTGCCACCTTGGATAGTCTGAAACTTGACATGTGGGTCAGTCTGGCTTCAAATGCACAGAGATATACATGCCTCTGCTCCTGAGGACTGGGATCAAAGATGTGTACCATGACACCTAGCTTAAAGATTTTTTTTTTCATTTAGTTTGGAAGCTTTATTTTCAATACTGTAGTTAACATACAAATACATTTTAATGTCAATATTTTGTGTTTCTTGTCAATAACAAATTCTAGAATGTATCATGAATTCTGGGTAATAGAAAATATGTAAAGAACCATTGAGATGGATTAGTGGGTAGGGATCCTCACTGCCACGCTTAAGTACTTGAGTTCAATACCCAGAAACCATATGGTTGAAGAAGAGAGTGGACTCCCACAAGTTTTCCTCTGACCTCCACATCTGTGCCTTAATGTATGCCTACCCAATACACTCATCACTGCCCTATATTAATGAAATAAATGTAAAAAAGAGAGAATACTTAAAAATATGAGAATAAATATATACATATGTTGAATATAAGACATTGTCAGAGATGAATGGTGTCATAAATTTATAATTTTTCATGCTGCATTTTGAAACAAAAACAGGTGACAGTGATATTGGGTGGCTTTTTCTTTTATAAAATGTTATTAATTAATTGATTGATTGATTGATTTTTATTTCATACGTATGAGTGTTTTGTTTGTGTGTATGCAAGTATACCAGTGTCATGCAATGCTCCCAGACGGTATCAGATCTCTTGGAACTGGAGTTATGGATGGATGTTAGCCACCATATGAATGATGGGAACTAAACCTAGGTCCTCTGCAAGAGCAGCCAGTACTCTTAACCACTGAGCCATCTCTCTAGCCCTAGGGTGACCTTTGCTTTTATAGAACTTATTAACACAACATACCTCTAGAACAACTAGTCATAGTATGGTTTCCATTTGGAAAAATGAAAACTCAGTAGAAAATTTTCTTCTGTTAGAAACATGTTAGTATCTGAACAATTCCAATAATATCCAAAACTTAGGTTATCACAATTTAAACAAACTGAAGTTTGTTTATCTACATTAATCAAAATGTCAAAGATCAAGGGAGCTCCTCATTTACTTGATTAAGCTTAAAGGGGTGACAGGATTTCTCACATTCACACGAGCTTCAGCAGTGCTAGTTCTCCCACTGCATTCAGGAGAGAAAAGTGAGAGGAAGAACAGCACCCAGCCAGTTACTCCGGTGCCCTTTGATTCAGAGTGAAAAAGTTTTCTCAGAGCTCTCTGCACCAAATCTGGCACAATTTCAACTGGAAAATTGGGTTATTTAGATAAATTTTAATATAAGTGAGAATAAAAATGCTGGAAAATGCATAAAATCTGGTCTGTCACATTGAAGCAAGAGTGATTCAGTTCTGGGGTCTGGGTTTTTCTTTAATTGAAAGCATTTTCAGTCTTCTACATATGCCTTCCTGTTATGCACTTTTTAAATCCCAATAGAACCCTAGGTACATTCATTTGTTCAGTGCTTAAACCAAATAATCCAACCAAGGGATAAGTATGATATGGTGAAGTAGACACAAGCATAGATATCAGGACACCTGCATTCTGGTCTTAACTGTTTAACTATCCAAGCACTTAAAATTAGCATTATTTGATCAAGATGCTGCTGACTTCAGAGAGCCTCATCTCAACTGACTAGCATCCATAGTGCTGGAAAGCGCTATGCTTGCTATCAGAAGGAGAAAAATAATCATTATCCCTACCCAACTGTGAATCCTGTGAACTGTAATAACAACTGGCCTGGCAAGATATGACCACTGGGCAATCGTGGCATAAATATTATGGGTGCAACCATCTGCTCTGCAATGGGTGAACCATTGCTTCATAAAATAGAGTCCATCCATACCTGACATTGATATCAGGCTTAGGAACCTGAGGCTTAAAAAGAACACAGGGAGCAGGGGAGAATCTAATACTATTCTATTAAATAGCTTTGTATTAAATGGACCCCTAATGACTTATTGTTATGCTCATAGACTAATGAATTTCTCAGGTCTCACCAGAGAGATTTCTTTATGCAACAGATTGTGATTAAAATAGAAAAACACAACTGGTCAATGTGCAGTGAATGAAAATGTGTGTGTTTCTATATAACTAAAATAATAAATTCTGTGATTAGAGAGATTCTTGGTTGGTAAATTACTTACTTCAAGAGTACAAGGACTTGAGTTCCATCCCCAGAACCCACACCAAAAAACAAAACAAAACAAATAAACAAAAAAAACTGGGCATGCTTTGTATATGCTTATCATCCCAGAACTGGGGAGACAGAGACAAATGGATTCATGGAGCTCTCTGGCCAGACAGCCTAAACCAGTGAGTTACAGGCCATTGACAACCTCTGTCTCAAAAGGAACAAAGGTGACCAGCATCTCAGCAATGACATGGAAAGTTGTCCTCTGGCTCCCACATGCATGCACACCTGTGTACAAAGGACCATCAACACCCACAACAATAAGTTAATACCAACATACCTTCCCTATCTTTGGCTCCCACATTCTTTCTATTCCCTCATCCTTATTGTCCACTGCGGCTTGAAGAGAGTGATGTAAATGTTTTGTTTAGGGTCTATCACTCCACAATCACTAATTCTCTGCACTTTGACCAGTTGTGACTCTCTGCATTAAGTGACAATCTCTTGTAAAAAACAGCTTCTTTGAAAAAGGCTAAGAGGAACACTACTCTTGAGTATACACATAAGTATTTAAAAGGCAGTTTGATACTCTGTCCATTTAGCAAAATAACAGTAGTGGAATTTCCCTTATGGCCTGATCTTTCTGGCCAAGGGTCTTGCCCAGGTTTATAGTGCTATCCTGGAATGAGTTCTGTGGAACAGGCCTCAAATCCAATAAAAAATTGTACTTGTGTATATATCTTACAAGGCAGGTGGTTATTGTAACTTGTGAGCTCTATAGCTGAGTATGACCATTGATGACTTTTCTGTCACCAGCTTGTATAGCACCTTCTGGCTGTGTCAAAACTAGCCATCAAGGAAGAAATTTTCAGCACAGATCCAGGTTGATTTCTTTCTCTCTCTCTCTCTTTCTTTCTTCCTTTCTCTCTCTCTCTCTTTCTTTCCTTTTTTGTTCACTTATATACTTAGGAATAGAAAATTTATAATGTAAATTTCACTCATTAAAAAGACCTAGGTACAAATTGCAACATTACAGATAATCCTTTGTTTCACATGGAGACCATAAAGATTCAAGTAAGTATGGATACTCAGGTCAGTGTTATACAAATTGAAAGCATTTTGGAATCATTAAGTATATTTCAATACATAAAATTATATGAATGCTTTAAACACAATATCTTTTTACAATGAAAATTTAAACAAAAAATATGACCATCATCAGCAGTTAAGTATTCTTATTTTAATACTAGTCTGACACAGTGTTAGTAACCATGCTACACTGAAGCATGTAATGGTACATTGCTGAGTCATGATTTTTTAAATATAGCATCCCATATACCAAGAATATTTAGGCTGGTCATAAGTTATCAATGTGTAAGTACAGAAGCATAATCAATTATAGGAAGCCTCTTACATAAACTGGTATTCAACAGTATACAACTGTCTCAGATTTATGCTTACAGGTAGACATTCAAATATACCAAACAGCATGACCTAAGAATATTAACCATATAGTTCCACAGTATGACTGAGTCATAAGAACCTATGTGAAAAGAAAAGAAAGAAAGAAAGAGAAAGAAAGAAAAAAGAAAAGAGAAAAAAATAACCCTTATCAGTTTAGTGCATGATTGAGTCAACATAGTTCCCAGGGAAGAGTCCAGTCATGTGATTACAGTCTCCTTCAAATCAGCAGTCCTCATTCTTCTTTATAGCAGAGATGATTGCACCCTCCTTAAATGACGGCTCATTATCCTTGTGTTTTGAGTAGTAGTATATTGCAACAACTTTCTCAATATAGTTCTTGAGGGCCCATGCTGGATCCCCATCTGCGTAGGGATCACTGTACTGAACTATAGCAGCTTCCTCATCTTCATAATCCACACGCGGAGGTGCTGGTGGAGGTGAGAGTCATCAAACATGTCCTGGTGGCAGAGTTGAGATCAGCTTTTGAATTCTGAGTCTAGCGTGGACCTCCATCAACATGAGGCTGAGCAGAAAATTGGGCAGTCACAGAGGGTGTTCATCTGTATCCACCAGAAGATGTCCAAGAAATGGGAGAGTTGTGTCAAGAAATCTCTCTGGTTCTTCTGCCATAGTGGGAACCAGGAGCTGAGTCAGGGGCTGGACCGACAGTGGTGGGGGAGATGGAGTCACAGCAATGGAAACACCAATGCTACTGCGGCCACTGTTGTCTCGACTCCCACTTCCTCCACTGCTTCCACTATGTGTCCCGGGGCTCTGACTTAAAGAACCCATCCTGCTTGCACTATGCTTGACTTCCAAGCTTGTGGGACTAGTTGTGTAGTCACTAGGAACTGTTGGGGGTTTAACAGGTTCTAGGGTTTTATAAGGAATATTCTGTACCACAGTCTTCAACCTAACAGAGGAGGACTCAATGACTTCTGAGTAGGAGAATTTGGTTTCAACAACGTGCTGGTTCTTGCAGGCTGGTTATTTCCAAGCTTAATTCCATGGCCCACTTCATCCAGAACTGCATAGTTAGTAGGCTTCTGAATGTACTTTACAGGGTGCTCCATATTTGCAGGTGCTATTATTTTGTAATTTCTAGGTGTACTCTTATTTGTTGTAAAAACACCAGTCTCTCTTCCAGTCACTTTTTCTTCATGAATACCCACAGTCTGTGAGATGGAATTGATGGAATTGATGGAATTTGTTTCTCCGAAGCTGAGAGGCTTGGACGTCCAGCAATGAGAACTTTGTAAGCCAGTGTGTTTATTTGACAAGCAACACTAGCTAGATTTGGTTGTATACACTTTGGTCTCTTCTAGAGTTTTTTCTCTTTTCTGTAGCCCGTACATAGTTGTTTTCACAGTAGCTTGCCACCCGGGTCAGGTTCTGGTTAACTCTCTATCAGAGCCTTCTTGCCAGACAGGAGCTTCTCCCCGGTAACATCTGCAGCTCTGCCATTTTCCACCCCTTTGCATCACTTCTTCTCACGTTAAAGAAACAGAGGCAGCAGAGACCTCTGAGTACCCAAGTGCCTCACAGCCCAGGGTACCAGCCGCCTTAACTCGCTCCTACCATGTATTATGTCCAGGTTGATTTCTTAATTACTTGCAACACTAGTGTGTGGTGTCTTCTGCAAGTGGGTATCTATGGTCATTGTACTCATGACCTCAATGCAGTTGTGGTTACCTACACAAGACCTGTAAGAGACTGAGTTCATCACCACATCATCACATATGAGGGAGTGCTTATGAGGTACAAACCCTCACTGAGAGACTAAAAGCAGTTAATGGGTGTTGGGGACCTGGCATCATTTTCTTTAGTGGTGTAGCCAGTGATAAGTTGCCCATGTTCCAGTAAATAGTCTTGCACTTCCAGCCAGCATCCATGCAAGTGACCATAATTAAACTCAGTGGACTAAAAAAAGACATCAAATATAACGGGCTTGTGAGAAGAAGAAGGATTTCAACTGGAGAGAGAGAACTATGAGAGAGTGAAATGGATCTGTAAATGTCCAAAATTCAATATTTGTGTATGAAATTATCAAAGACTTAAAAATTAAGTAAAAATAAACTGAAATTAAATTTTAGATGTTTCGATATAAGAAGTAAATAGGTGTTATGCAAATAAGATGATACATGTGTTAATTGACTTGTTTGAATCATTCCATAGAGTATGAACATGTCAAAATGTTATGGTTTGTCTATTAAAATAACAGTGATAATACAAAAATCAGGAAAATGCACAGAACCCAAACCTTCCTAAGAATAAATGGTCTTCCTTGTATACCAATGAGCTTTGACCTCTATAATTTTGCTAGATATTATTGACGATTCACAAAGTTGTTGACAATTAAATTTTCCTTGAAATTTTCTTTCCCTTGGAAATAAATGTTTTGTGTATTATATCGCTTTAGTGCATTTAGGGAAGAATGCATCACTCCTCTCTCCACATTCTTCTGTGCATTTTCCTCAAAGGACAATGCTTATCTGGAGTGCGGCCTGCTGTGCCTTCTGTTCTCCAGTGATCCATAAAGACCTTTATGATAATCTACGTCATTGGCTTTCTATCTTTGGTCCTGACTACTGTTGTGTTCTGTACAGCTCAGCAAATTCATATAAGCAAGTCATCATGTGCTTTAGTAAATATATATATATTCCTTTAATATTCTTTTGTTTCCTCTTCTGTCAATAATTCCGTATGTTTTTATGGATATTTTCCTTTACACATTTAATAACCCTCTAGCTCTTCATTATTTCTACTCCTCAGCATCTCAATCAAACAGAAATAGCTTCCACTATAAAAACTCACCTTCCACCTGCTGTATACCCTTTCTGTGTCCCACAGTGTTCTCTGTTTCTCCAGCTTCAAAGTCTGCATTGTCTGAGACACAGTAAGAACTCATTAAAGAAACCATATAAGACAATACTTTAAAACACACTCCCAGATTTTAATATTACCACTTCTACATTAAATTAATTTAATGTTCCCTCATAACATCCTTTGAACTGGAGTTTTCTCTATTTCCACTGTGAGATATACATCGACTATACTGAAAAAAATAATATGTAATTCATAGCCTTTAGTTTCTCCAACTTTTAAAACTGTTGATAGGTTATTACAAGTCTCACACAGTTATCACCAATATTTTCCCTAGGTGAAAAGCTGTTCTTTGATCATTCTGCTACATTTCCTCATGTCCTGGATTCAATATGTATTTCTGTTCCCACCTCTACTCATCTTGTTCAAGCTATAGTTGTATAGTTGAATAGATGGAGCTATTTTTCTCTGCCTTATTTATGCATTTATACCCAATACACCCCTGTTTTTGTCATCTGATCTCTGCAAATCCAATTATCTTTGCCCTCAAACCTAGGTTAAAAATGTCATAGTCAGCATTTTATACATTGTCATTATTGTGCTTATAGAATCATGGCTCTTTACATATATCTAACCTATTTGTGCAGATGTAAGTTCTTTGTATTTCAATTTTACCTTAATACATCTTTTTTAAAAAGTACTTCATCAAGTACTTTTAAAAAGTGCTGTTTAAAAAAGTACTTCAAAATTTCCCTGACCTTTTTTGTTAGAGGCAATTTTATTCTTCCTCAACCTCAATGGCACATTGAATTTGCAACAGTAGCATACATAGAAATGCTTATCGTGAGCCAGGTATGGGTATGATGATACCTTCCTTTAATCCCGGCAAAGGCAGGCAGACCTCTGTGAGAATGAGACCAGCCTGGTCTACATAGCAAGTGAGTTCTAGGCCAGCTGGTGCTATAGGGAGATGCTGTCTAAAAAAATGCTTATAATTTAATTATTCTATTGATTTACTTAAAAATTATATGTCAATTGCTGTGGGCATGGTTGTGTATACCTTTAATCCCAGCACTTGGGAGGCAGAGGCAGGTGGATCTGTGAGACCACCAGCCTGGTCAACATGGTGAGTTCCAGGCCATCTGGGGCTACTGGTAGACCCTGTCTCATAAAGACCAAAAAACAAAACAAAACAAAACAAAAACCCCAAACCAAAAACAAAACCCCTCCCCAAACACAAAACTTCTGTGTTGAACACTTGTTATATATAAGGCAACAATAAGTTTATGATGATGAGAAAGATTCAGAGTCTTGGTCACATAGGATTCACAAGTCAGTGGGAGAGAGGCACTGGAACTGTCAGAAGCTCTCTGAATAATAAATACTACTAAGAAGTATGGAGAATATTGGTCTTCAAGAAGTCACTTCTGTGTTAGTGCATAAAGGATGAATAAATGTAAGAATTTGCTCTCAGACACTTTGGTCCTTGTACACATGAGAACTGATGCTTTTTCTTTCGCCTCCTGTAGCCTCTGACTGATTCTCACTTGATAAAGAAGAACTACCTGTTGGTTGAGGGCATCTAAATATTACCCTGGCACCTAGCCCATCACCTTGAAGTCCATCTCTTTGGAGGAACATTTGAGGGGTAGGCCGAAATGAACATATGGCTGCCAGCGTACATAAGAACTTCCTTACACTACAGCATAGGCACGTGTTTCTACTTAGCTGTGTCATTTCCTCTGTTGTTGAAGTTGATGGTAAACTCATGCTGTGTTCCAGAAAACCAATCCATCTTAGCTGACACATCTGGGGTGAAGTATAATAACAAAGACAACACCTTCAGTCATCAGTTCAAAGGAAATTTTCTTCATGAAGCTAAAGCAGCTGGTATTTCAGTGTCTGCCATACAATCAAACGTCCTTGTCAGTGAAATACAGTAACGTCACAATGTAGTAGGTTCCTGCAGCTTCCTAAATGCCACTGTCTTCATTTGCACTGATCTCATAGAGGTATGGCTTTCTCTTATGTAAGGCAGTTGATACAAACACAGTCACTGCGGTTCTTAAATGTCATCACTAAACACCCATTGCTGAGAAATGGCTCAATAGGTTGCCCTGATAAAGAGGACTTATCCATCCTAGTATCTAAATTCAGAAATGGAAACCAAATAGGTTTTTTTCCATTTCAATAGCATACTTGTATTAATAGGTAGCAGCTGCCTGGAGTACACTTTGGAGGATTGAAGTTTGTGCTAGGCTCAATAAAACAAGGATATCTAACTCTCTTCAAGCCTTCAGCCACTTCATTTCCTTGCTTTAAACTTAAAAGACTATCCTTCCCTAACTTCCCATTTTTGCAATGTCATTTCAATATCTCAGACTCTAGCATCATTTAATCCCATATTCCAAGTAAGACTTTTAATAATCCATCACTCTAACTGCTTTCTTACTTCATTTCCTTTTGCTCTTTATTCCTTTATCAATCCTCACTCTAAATTCTGAAGGAAATACATGCAGTCGTTGTCTGGCTCAGCCAAGCTGTGGTCACCTATGCATTGTTGATCTAGATATAAGAAAATTTCCATGACTCAAAAAGTTAAAATCAAGTTTAAATCAATTATGACAGGGTACCCAGCAGCATTAGTATAGTGCACACGGTGTCATTCTACAGTCTCATGAAAACACATGCATAAATAAAGCAAAGAACAAGTGGTCAAAGTCTATAGCTGCTTGATGTGCACATGTGCTCTATGCCTCATAGTGTATGGCAATATGGTACTGATGAGTTGATGTGATACCCTCATTAAATCCATCAAGGAATTCTTCCTGGAACTTATGGGTTAGTATGAGAACTTCCAGAGATATATACATAATTGAATGCATTTGAAAATTTCTTAGACCATTTGGATCAAAATTCCTAGACACTTTTGATTTTCTTTACACAGAGTAAGGGATTAAACAATTTGAATTTCCAAATATCTCTCCCTTTATATTTAATATGGGCTATAAATTTATTCTCCATAGTAGTCAGACCTTTCCATTTTGAGCTGTATTGTTTGTGTGTGTGTGTGTGTGTGTGTGTGTGTGTGTGTGTGTGTGTGTGTACCTGCTTGTGTGAATGTGGTGGGTGGGCATGTATAAGTGAGAGAAAGAGAGATAGTGACAGAGAAAGAGAGAGGGGAAGAGAGAGAATGTTCCTGTTTCCAGTAAAATTTCTGTAGAAATTAGCTCAATTATTATACATCCTACTATAGTTTTATGTGATACAATCCAAATATCCTAGAAATGGCATGACTCAGTTTTTAAAATTTCATTTATTACTAATACTGTGTGTATGTGGAGTGATTTATTGTGCAGAAACATATACCACAGCATGTGTATAGAGGTCAGAAGACAACTTGTAGAGTCAGGGCTTTTCTTCTACCTTCCTTGGGTCTGAGGATCAAATACAAGTCACCAAGCTTGCCAAGCAGGTGTTTTACCTTTTGAACCATTTCTCTGCCCTATGATTCACCTAAAGAAGACTGTGTTATTGCTCTTGGATACATCTAGTTCTATTTTTTCTATTAAGAAAATTTGGTTTCATATTTTATTTTTAAATTCAAAGAAGATAAACTTTTAACTTTTGGTGATTGACAATGTTTGTCAAGACATTTTAAATTGAGATATATGATAATTGTTCATATTTTTGGACATTTAGTGTGATAATTTGGTATATGTATAAAATGTAAGGCTGGAGAGATGGCTCAGCAGTTAAGAACACTGGCTGCTCTTGCAGCAGATACAGGTTTGAATCCCAGTCCCCACATAAGAGCTAACAGCAATCTGTAACTAACTCTAGTTTCAGGGTATCCAGTTCCTTCTTCTGGCCTCCAAAGACATGGCATATCATGGGTGCACTTACATACCTGTAGGCATAACACATAAAAAAGTAAATAACTAAATATTTTCATATATTATTAAATCACAATGCCTAGAATTTTCATCTTCTCAAGCATTGATCATTTCTTTGGATTGAGAAAATTATAATTTCCAGTTATTTAGAAATGTATAAAAATTATAACCTTTAATCACCCTATTGTGGTAAAGAAACACAGCCATGCTCTCTGATGATGTCTCTGAATTTAATTGTTGATCAATTTATCACTGATAGAAACACCAGAATGTACAGCAAATATTTCACTGATCACACTGACTGTATTCTGGTTATTTCGATAGATATATTTTTCTTTTGTCATTGAATTATTGACATTTTCATACAATGTTATTTGATGGTATGTATGTCCACTCTCCTATCTGCATCTCCCCTGATTAACTGCCCCCCACCAAGTTCAATATACTGTATTATGTATATTTGTAATATACAGAGTCTACTATAGAGTCTAATTTGTGTCTCCAAATATTGTTTAGTGTGGTTTCATCTACAGGAAACTGGTTAACCTAGCAAAAGTTTCATGCTTGAAAGAGACAGTCTCTGTCCCTTGTAGCCATTTGCTGCCACCATCCCCTTAGGTGGGGTTTGAGCTCCTTACTTAGTGCCTCTTTTTTTATGTTGGGGTTGTTTGTGCTTTGAGCTTGCATGCTGTCACCATTGTTTGGAGTTCATACGAGTAGCTGACCAGCTGCATGAAAAACTGTTTCCTTGTGGTTATTCACCATTGTGACTCTTACAATCTTTTTGCCTCCTTTTCTACAATGACCCCTGATTCTTGAGGGGTTTGAAATAGGTGTCCTATTCAGGGATAAGCACTCTGTATCCTCTTGTTCTCTACACTTTGGCCAGTTGTGTGTTTCTATGTTAATCATCATCTGTTGCTTAAGGAAACTTCTCTGGTGAGAGTTGTGAGATGTGTTAATCTGTGAGTCTTTAAAAGTTAGTTTAGTACTATAACTATTTAGTAGTAAACTTGTATTTGGTTCTTCCCTATGTCCTGTGACCTGTCTAGCCTCAGGTTCCTAAGCCTGAAGAGAAGGCAATTGTTCGTATTTTCAATCTAATTGCCAGAGTAGATAAAGCCTTTCAGAATTCTTATTTAAAATCATTCTTACCTGGGGTTA